GTGCACAGCAATTTTTTTTTCCCCAGAAATCTGCTCTGCAGTTCTCCCCCACCTCTTCCTCTTTTCCAAATCACTTGAAGTTTCCCAGGGGCCCAAGAGCACCTTTTCTTTTGGGTCGCATTGGCTTAAAACCTGCTCTAGTTCCCAGGCTTTGGCATGATTAGATATTAGGAAGGAATTCTTCCCTGTGAGGGTGGGGAGGCCCTGGCACAGGTTGCCCAGAGAAGCTGTGGCTGCTCCATCCCTGGAAGTGTCCAAGGCCAGGTTGGACTGGGCTCGGAGCAACCTGGGCTAGTGGAAGGTGTCCCTGCCCATGGCAGGGGGTGGGACTGGATGGTCTTTAAGGTCCCTTCCAACCCAAACCATTCCAGGAGTCTGTGTCAGAATCAGTTCCTTGCCCCTCTTGGTAAAGCAAGAACTCACTTGGGATATTTGTAGGATTTTGTGCTGGACTGAGAAGCCCCAAATCTCCAACAGCTTTAACAAGAGATAAAGGGGAAAATCATCCCCTTGCACCCCCTCACAGAGCCAGAGGTGCTGCTCAGTGATCCCTAAGGAAACGTGAATGGCAGGAGCAGCAGCAGACATACCAACTGATGCTCCAAAGGGTGTTTTCCCAGAACTCTGAGCAGATGGCTGGGATGCAGAAGGCCTGCACTCACAGCAGGAGGAGGGCAACAAGGCTGCAGCACTGCACGTGCCATCTCACTTCACGTTATTCCAGCAGGAAGGAATGTTACAGCCAGAAGACACCAGGGAGCCAAGACATTGGTGAGTCCCCTCAAAATATCCAGAGGGTGAAATGAGAAGGATTCTGGGGTGAAGGATCACAGTGTGGTGATGAACAACACCAGCATGGTGGGACAGCCCTGTCCCAAACCCAGCAGCCCAGAGGAGCCAAGGACACGGTGAGGAGGGAAAGGCTGATGTCTCTGATCCTCCACATCCCTGGCCAAGCCATTTGGACGTGTCTTTGCACAGAGAGCATGAGCTTAATTAGTAAAAGAGCCAAAATGAGCATTACCTTCCCCCTCACAGCCTCACTTTGCCTTGTTTTCCATTCATTCCTGGCTCTTCCTGGCAGGCAGACACCTGAGGGTGGCTGTGCATCCACAGTCCTGCAGCAAACAGCACTAAGGCATTTGCATGAGGCTGAGCACTGCCAAGCCAAGAAAAATTAATTTACTCAGGTTTTTAGCAAGATAGAACACAATCTTCTGATTGGGATTGCAGGAAATGGTCTGTACAGCAAGAACTGGCTCCGTTGCCCGAGATCTTCTTGTCCCACTGGCATCTTTTATTCTGCTGACCTACCCTTCCTGGCCAAGGGTACAGCTCTACACACCCTCAGACATTAAATTAACAGTTTTCCAGCTTTGCCAGCGGAAAATTTGAAGCTCTTGAAAGGCCACAAATTCCTGCAAAAGACATTGAGCTTATCATTAAATGCAGCTTGGCCTGAGTGCTTGACATGGAGGATCTTTACTAGCATTTTATAATTCTCCCCGTGTCTGTGCTTTGTGTTATTAAGCCCCACTGGGACCAACAGGTTTTTTTGTGGATATTTAAATTCCTACCCACTGGAGGGCTCCTTGGTTTAAGCATTTTCAGTCGGGTTTTATGGATTTATAGAATATTCGCAGCTGCACATGACCTCAAGGGAAGCTGAGGCTTGGCTTTTAAGAAATGCAAATCCAAAGCAACCTCTGGAGATTGAGAAGGAGCCACAAGAGCCAACTCAGAGCACCCTCAGTGTGCCCCTTGCTCGTGTGGTTCTTGGGATGGGAACAGGGATGTGGTCAGCAGCTGAGCTCATCCCTTCCATGAGTGGGGCTGGAAAGGCTGTGGAGATGAGTAATCCTGGAAGGGAAGATGCAGGGAATATGCAGAAAGTGAATGACCTTGCTGTTCTCCCCTCCTCCAATGTGCCAGGAGGGAATGCAACATTCCTTCAGCGACCCACTCCTGGACCACCCTGAGTTTTCCAGGACCAGGGCAAATCCCACTGGAGCAGCATCCCATAGGAGATGCAGGCAGCTGAGCTCTTGTGGGAAGTGCTCTAAAATCCATCTGACAGCATTCTGGGAACTTTCCAGTTTCCAGCCAGACTGTATCTGTGCCACTGTAACCCCGTTCTTCCTACACACACAACGTTTTTCTCCTTCTCTGTTATTCATTATTTGGATTGGGATCCTACCCCTGCAATGTCTGGAGATTCTCAGTAGGAAAGTAATTTCTTATCTTCTGCGTCCACACAGAAATTTTGGAGAGCAGGACCAGAGTGATGTCAAAGGCCCAGGTCAAGGATACACTTGTGACAGTCCCCAGAAGGCTTCCAGTGGTGCCATGGTGGGACACACTGCTCTGCTGAGGAGCTGGGAAACCCTGCCCTGCCTTAGGGGATGCAGGGGCATGTGGAAAATGGATGAGAAGATGTAGGCACAAGCCTCAACAAGGAAAACTCCCAGCAGACCTGTGCAGAACATTCCTCTCCATGGGAATGCTGCAACCTTGGGAGAGGGTAAGAGAGGTGGTGCAATCCCAGCCCTTGGAGACACTCAACACTTGCCTGGTCAGGATATGATCAACCTCTTCCAGCTCTGGAGCCTGCTGGGAGCAGGGGCTGGATGGGAGGCTCCAGGAGTGTCCCCAACCCACCTCTCTAACTCCAGAGTTCCCTTTCCAGCTCCCAAAGGGAAGAAGGGCAAGAGCTCTCCACCCTCTGCACTCAGGGGGGACCCAGGCAAGAAAGCCAAGATTAACTTGACCTCCAGACAGCCTTAATGTCTATCCATGGTCTGTCCCTGAGGGAATGGCAGAGCAGCAGTGGTGGAGGCCGGGACACACGGCAGGAGCTCCATCATAAAATCAGCATCTTTAATGAGCTCTGTCAGCCATGAGCCCTCAGGAGGCTCTTCCCCACACCAGGAGATTTCTCCCTGGAGGCAGCTGTCCTGTTCACAGAGTGCAGCTCTGACATCCCAAGGACAAATGTCCTAAAGGAAGCCCAGCTCCAGCAGCAGGACACACAGTGCATGTCCCAGCCTGGCCAGGGGGAGCTGTGCTTTGAAGGGGAGCTGTGTGAGCCCCCCCCTCTCCCAGCTGTGTGAGCCCCTCGTTCCCTAGGAAGTGGATTTGAGGATGTGGCTCCACAGCCCAGCAGCACCAGCCCTTGTTCTGCTATGGCTGGAAGCCTTTCCCATCCCTAAAGCCACTGGGCTCCAGGAAGAGCTGCTGGATTGATTTATTTTTTTTTCCAGGAAAAGACAAGGTAACCTTTCTGGGGATCAACATCAGTGTTAAGGATGGTACTGCCACGGTACCACCAGCACCACCACGGTGCCACTGCGGCACTGCCACGACACAGCAGAGTGACACCAGGTCCAGCAGCACCACCCCAGCACCACCAGTTCCACCATGGACTATGATGGCACTACCACGGTGCTGCCACAACCCCATGGGAGTGGGAAGGGAAACTGGAGTCACCCACCCAGCCAGGAGCCTCCAGGATCACGGGAAACACTCAAAGCAGCCCAAGGACCAAGGCAAACTGGATGGCAGGTGCTCAGCAGTCACCACCATAGACACCAAGCGGGGTCCTCACCCCCTCCTCCACCACCCCTGGATGCACAGCTGGATCATGGGGGACCCACTGCAGGGATCATCTAGAGCTGGTGCACAGCCCCCTCCCCAAAGGTGCTGTTCAGCTGCTGGAGCACCCACAAACACCCCTCTGAACCAGCCACCTGCCCCTCTGCCACTCCCAGCCTTCCCACCCAGGCTCCCACCAGGACACAGCACCTATTCTGGCTCTCCTGAAGGAGTGTCCTAGGCTGGGTTGGACAGGGCTTGGAGCAACCTGGTCTATTGAAAGCTGTCCCTGAAGCAGATGATCTTGAAGGTCCCTTCCAACCCAAACCATTCTGGGATTCCCTGAAGACAGTAAGTGGCACAACCAATTTGACTCCTGGGATACAAAAGAGGGGAGGGAGCAGAAATCCTTCCCATTCTGCAACCCCATTTTTCGGCTGGGGTGCTCCTGGCACAGCCAGGGCTGGGGTCAGAGGCAGCCCAAGGGTGCCTGGTTCAATGTGGCCTTTCCCTAAGCATCACAATAAACAGCCCTTCAAAACAGACCCATAGGAAACTGTGCTGGACTGAAATCCTGTTGTCCCTTGATGTGTTTCCAGCGGTGCCCTTTCTCCCGCAGGCAGCTCCAGCTGGGCTCAGCTGCACAGCACAGCCTGCTCAAAACCCTCCTGCTAAACCCCAGCCAGCTCTGCTCAGCCCTTCTCCCTCCTGAAGGCCAAAAGCTGATTTCTCTCCTGTTTAAGAACACCCCCAGATCCCAGGGGACCCCAGGAAGATAGTTGCTCTTCCTCACGGGAAAGGAGGGCAAGATGTCCTGAGCAGGGTGAGCTGGTGAACTTTCGTGACCTGGATGGAGGAGGTGAGACCCTGAGGAGCTGTTTGGGCTGTCTTTAGGGAGATGCTGCAAGGGGCTGACCCTGCACTGCCCCGAGGTGCCCAGGGCTGCCTTCAGGGACAGGTTCCCCCTGCAGTGCAGGTGCCCCAAGCCCTCCGAGGCTCCCCGGACTGGAGAGGGGATATTTTGGAAGGGGGTGACAGTGAGTAAATCATGTCCCTGCCACGACCTGCAGAGCCCTTGATGCTGCCGGAGCGAGGAGATGCCGCAGGGACGGCTCAGCCTGGGCTGGTGCAGCGGCTGTGTCTGCTCCGGGTGGGCTCAGCGAGACCCCGCACCAGCTCCAGCGCCTTCCAGGCAGCTGGAAATCCCCGTGGAAGGGCAGCGGAGGCAGCAGCTCTTTCTCTCCTGGGGTTCGTGGCAGCGGCTGTGGCGGCTCCCGGCCCACGGGGAAGGTTTTGGGGGTGGCTCAGCCGCAGCCCAGCGCACCCATTGCCCGTGTCCGTCTCGTCCCCGCGGTGCCTCGACGCCTCTCGCCCCAAAATGAGCCAACGCACCGCCACCCCCGCCTTACCTGGGGGGGTCTGTCCGTCCGCTCCATCGCTCGCAGGGGCCTGACGAGCTCCGGCGCGGAGTGAACCCGCTGCGGGTCCGGCGGGGGAACGCGGGGGGTCCCGGGGGACTCCTCCTGGGGCTGGGGCGCTCCGTCCCGCTCCGATCCCGTGGGAAGCCGGCAGCCGACCGTGTCCGTGTCACCCCCCGCGCCGTCACGCGTGTCCAGGTCCGGGCAGGCGGGGGCGGCGGGGGCGGCATCGCCCGCGGCAGGGGCGGCATCGCCCGCGGCGGGGGCAGCGCTGGGCACCCCCCGCTCCGGCTCCTGCATGGCTGGGGCAGCGCTGGGCTCACTCCGCTCCGGGCAGGGCTCCGCGGGGCTCCGGGAGCCGGCACGGGAGAGCCGAGGGCATCAGAGCGGCGGCGGCGCTGGGAGCAGCCCGGGCCGCGCTCCCCCGCGCCGGGGCCGGGGCCGGCGGCAGCAGCAGCATCCCCGCACCGGGGCTGGCTCGGTCCCGCACCGGGAATGGCTCGGTCCCGCACCGGGAATGGCTCGGTCCCCGCAGCCCCGTGCGGTCGCTGCTCCCGCCGCCCTCAGCCCACCGCCGCCCCCGGCCCCATGACGTGGCGGAGGGGCCGGGGGAGCTGGCAGCCCCTCAGCCCGGGCAGCCCCCGCCGCAGCCGCTGCCGAGTCATCAATACGGAGCCGGGCCGGGCCCCGGGGGGGCCGCGCCGCGCCCCGGGCCGCCAATGGCGGCGGCTGCGCCGGTTTCCACGGCAACGCTGCGGGAGCGGGGTCTGGTGCCTATTGATGAGGCGGCGGCAGAGGGGGGGCGGACGGGCCGATCCCGCATCCCCCCGCACCGCAGCACCCCCCCCCGCATCCCGCCGGCATCGGGGTTTGGTACGGCACCGGCCCCAGCCCCTGCTCGGCTCTGCCCCGGGGATGCTCATCTCTGCCCCAGGATATCTCTGCTTCAGGGATACCCGGCTCTGCCCCCGGGATGCCTGACTGTCCCGCGGATGCTCATCTCTGCCCCAGGATGCCCAGCTCTGCCCCGGCAATGCCCAGCTGTGCCCCGGGACGCCCAGCTCTGCCCCAGGACTCCTGGCTCTGCCCCGGGGATACCCGTCTCTGCCCCGGGGATGCCTATCTCTGCCCCAGGGACACCCAGCTCTGCCCCAGCAATGCTCGGCTCCGCCCTGGTCGTACCCATCTCTGCCTCATGGATGCCCAGCTCTGCCCCAGGGATACCTGGGTCTGCCCCAGGACTCCTGGGTCTGCCCTGGTCATACTCAGCTCTGCCCTGGGGATGCCCAGCTCTGCCTCGGGGATGTTCACACACCTTCCCTCTGTGTGAGCTGAACCTCAGCCCCTCACTGACACGCTGTGCTGGAAACAACCCTCTGCTGAAAGCTGCTGGACCCTGCCTGCAGCATGAGCAGGACAAGAGGCAGAGGGTGGTGTGGGCAGGGAGGGAGGGCTGGGAGGCTGATCTGATCCAGGGAGACAGGAGTTAGCAGCATAACGCTCCAGCAAAGCGGGCACTGCCATCTCTGAGCACACAGAGCGGGCTGACGTGCTCTGTCTCTGCCTCCTCCCTGCCTGGCTGTGTCTTTGATGAAGATCACATCATCCATCAGGCTGGTCAGCGTTCGTGATGCTCAGGGGAAAGCCAATGGGCCACCCTGGGGGACATCTGTCTGTCCCCTGCTCCCCAGCCCTGTTCAAAGCTTGACCCACTGCAGAGCAAGGCTTGCTGATCCCAAACCCAAGAGGGTTTGATGATCCCTGAACCCCTGAGCAACTGGGGACAGGTCCTGCTTCCCCACATCCTTGTGTGTGGCAACAGCTCCCAGTCCCACTGCTGATGTCCCTCTCCTGCAGGGTGGGGGTGACATTTGGCATCTCACATGTGCTGCTCCCTCGATGGATGTGGAGCCACCAGGAGAACCTGTCTGGAGCCACTTGATCCAGGGTAAGTACCCTGGGGGGGTCTTTGATGCCTCTTTCAGACACCTCTTTGTGTGCACCTCCTTTGAGCAGCTTCATCAGTACATCCAGATGTGTCCTGTGCAGATGTGTCACCTCTTGAACCAGATGCCATGGGCCAAGTGTCACCCCTGCCTGAGCCCAGGCAGCACAGGCAAAACACCACCCAGATATTCAATTCACTGCTGGCTGTGAAGGGTGTAGATGACCCACTCAGATGGGTCCTGTGATGTGGGGAGTTACCACCACGCCAGGCAGTCTCACCTCTCTTAGCAGGACTCTGCCATCCCACCCAAATCCCAGATCTCCGGGCTGCCCATTCCTAAGGAGTGTGTGTGTGTGGTGGGGGGAAGCCCCAAGCTGGTGATGAGCAGTGGATGCAGCCAACAGACCAGAGAGGAGATTCCAGACAAATGATCCCATCTTCCTGTGTTTTCTAGTCTCATCTACCTTCAAACCACCAGTTTAAGTGACTCCTTCTGCTCCAGGAACAGGTCAGGATAGATCCCACCGCTGGAATCCCCCCGGTTCCTACCCACAAATGTTTCCCCCCGGGGAGGCACCAGGCAGGATCTGCAGGTGCTGCACGAGTGTGGAAGGAGGCCCAGGCACTGCTCAGCTCCCTGACAAGACAGAACAGGCAGGTTTCGTTAGCAGGAGGCGAGAGGCAGGATGGGAAGTGCTCCCGGATAAGATCTCATGGCTGCGGGGAGCACGGTCCCCTCTGAACCCTCCTCAGAGCTCTCCTCTGAACCCTCCTCAGAGCCCTCCTCTGAACCCTCCTCAGAACCTTCCTCCAAACCCTCCTCAGAACCTTCCTCTGAACCCTGGCTCCAACACATTTGTCTCCTCTGGGACATGCTGTAGCAGCCAGCTACAGGCTCGGTCTTAAGCTGTGCCAGGGGAGGTTTAGGTTGGATATTAGGAAAAAATTTTTTACAGAGAGAGTGATCAGCCATTGG